CCTGAAAGCAGCCCTCAGCTCCTCTCCCAGACTGGCCAGGCACCCCAGTGGGGACCCCCACCCTGATCCAGGACACCCTTCAGGGCAAACCAGCTGGCCCCCAGGCCTCTATCCTATATAGTAAAAGGGTAATATGCCTCCCAGCACCGGGATCAGCGGAGCCCGCGAGCCCTCCTGGCACCGGATCAGCGTGACGGGGGCAGCGCCCAAACCCCCTGATCGCCCTGCGACTCTGTGTGTGACAGGGTGCGGCATCCCAACCTGCCCCCGCCCCCACAGGCCCTGCTCTGTGTGTGACAGGGTAGAGCCATAACCTCCCCATAGGCCCTGCCCTGAGTGTGACAGTGGCGGCGCCCCAACCCCCTGATCGGCCCTGCTCTGTGGGTGATAGAGGGCAGCGCCCCAACCCCCCCCCTCCCCCCCGACAGGCCCTGCTCTGTGTGTGATGGGGTAGAGCCATAACCTTCCCATTGGCCCTGCCCTGAGTGTGACAGTGGCAGCGCCCCAACCCTGATCGGCCCTGCACTGTGGGTGATAGAGGGAGGTGCCCCAACCCTCTGATCCACCCTGCTCTGTGTGTGACAGGGGGTGGTGCCCTAACTCCCCTACCGGCCCTACTCTGTGAGTGACAGGGGGGAGCGCCCCAACCCCCTGATCGGCCCTGCTCTGTGAGTGACAGGGGGCAGCGCCCCAACCCCCTGATGGGCCCTGCTCTGTGCATGACAGGGGGGAGCTCCCCAACCCCCTGATTGGCCCTGCTCTGTGCGTGACAGGGGGTGGCGCTGCAACCTCCCCATCGACCCTGCCTTGAGTGTGACAGGGGGCGGTGCCCCAACCCCCCAATCGGCCCCACCCTGAGCGTGACTGAGGGTGGCATCGCAACCTCCCAATCCGCCCTGCTCTGTGCATGACAGGGGGCGGCGCCCCAACTCCCCAATCAGCCCTTGCTCTGAGCCCGACCAGGGTCTGCACCTAGGGACTGGGCCCTGCCCCTCTGCCACCCAGGAGCATGTTCTAAGCCAGCAGGTCTTTTTTTTCCTGGGGGTTCCCAGTCTGCGAGAGGGCACAGGCGGGGCTGAGGGACCCCCCACCCCCGAGTGCACAAATTTTTGTGCCTTGGGCCTCTAGTCCTATATAATAAAAGGCTAATATGCAAATCAACCAAATGGCAGAATGATCGGTCGCTATGATGCACACTGACCACCAGGGGACAGACACTCTGTGTAGGAGCAGGTAGTCAGTGTGCTCCCACAGGGAAAGTGGGAAAGTGCCGCTCAGCCAGAAGCTGGGCTCACGGCTGGCGAGCGCAGCGGGGTGGCAGGGAGCCTCTCCCACCTCCACAGCAGTGCTAAGGGTGTCTGACTGATGGTCCGGACATCCCCCGAGGGCTCCTGGACTGCGAGAGGGTGCAGGCCGGGCTGAGGGACACCCCCACCCCCACCCCAAGTGCACGAATTTCGTGCACCGGGCTTCTAGTGTAATAATAATGTATGTTAAATGTATTCATAGCTTAATCTCAAAGATAATGTTAAACCAAAAAGCAAGTTGCAAAATAACTTTGATAGGATATTATGAATTGTTTAGGAATACAAACACATACCATAAAATATATATGGAGATTATGAGGATGAAAAAAATGGATGCTATCAGGGGCTTAACTGAATTGGTCAAGATTATTTCTTAAAGTGGGAAATAAGAACATGAGAATCCAATATATTATTCTTTATACTTTTCTACATGTCTGAAATATTTCCTAATACTTTTGAAACAAGTGAATGGCCTAAAGTGAGCAAAAGATTCAAAGATAAGAATTTACATTTTCCAAAAGAACTATCATATGACCCATCAATTCCTTTTCTAGGTATTTATCTGAAGAATATAAAAACACTAATTTAAAAAGATATATGCACCCCTATATTATTGCAGCATTATTTACAGTAGCCTAGGTATGAAATAACCTAAGTATCCATCAATGAATGAATGAACTCAGCCATGAAAAAGATGAACTACTGCCATTTGTGACAACATGGATGGCCCTTGAGGATATTATGCTAAGTAAGACAGACTGAAAAGGACAAAAACCATATGATTTCACTCATATATGAAATACAAAAAAGAAACAAACTAGCAAACAAAATAAACTCACAGATACAGTCAAAAGATGGGCAGTTATCAGAGGGAAAGGCGAATAGGAGGAGGGCAAACATGGGTAAAGGGGGTCAGATGTAAGGTGACAGATGGAAACCAGGCTTTTGGTAGTGAACACACTACAATGCACACAGATGTCCAACTGCGATGTTGTACACCTGCAGCTTATATGTTATTAACCAATGTTACCTCAATTAATAAAAACACAGTTTCTATACAGTCAATATAGTAGTATATTGGTTTCTCATAAAAGAACCAAAATTAAAAATAGCTTAGATGATTAGTAGGGAGGATACACACTGCATTAGATTCATTCTAAAATGCCAGAATAGCAGTATATGTACTTGGCATTTGGGTAGTTCCTCACATCTATTTAGCAATCAGAAGGTATAAGAATACAATATGGACAAATCAACCACATTTTCTTAAACTGATTGACCTAGAAACTTATTTTTGACACAAAATCATTCGTAAGCCTTAGCATTTTCCTCCTGACATTGTCACAATCTTTGCCTAAGAACCCCAAATTAATACTAGTTTCAAGAATTAAGAATTTTCATAAATCACTAAAAAAAAAATTACATAAAAATAAAATACCAAAAATCCACCAATAGAACAATTACAGGGTTACATTTTAGTTTATTTTTTGATGCTTTAAAAACATTATACAGTTTAAGGCATAAGAGAGAGGATCTGGTAGTACCTATACCTGTCGCGTCTTCCATCTCGGGCACTGCTGTGACTGTAACTCGTGCACAGTTTACTGAAGGAAACTAGTTTCAGGTCAAGTTCATTTTCCAGCTGTCGAGCCTGTTTCCTGAGATCTTTAACAAAATTATAAAAGCAAATGATTCAGACACAAAAAATTCATCAGTAGACATAAAATTCACAAAGCTATTCTGAAGAAAACAAACTATGAAAATGATCATATATTGATTTAGGTTCAATTTTTTAAAAAGTTTTAAATGGAAGAAACCAAAGATGTACCCAGCAAAGCAAACCGTCACTTATTTTAAATAAACTTCAGGTGGGGCAAAAAGGCAGGGGGGAGACGCAAATTTTCGGCTTTATCCAAAAGACAACTAGACAACAAAGGTTGTTCTAAATCCCTGAAATTATTTATATAGCAACAAATAAATTTTGTTAAGTTAGGGGAAAACAAAAGAAATCACGAAGAAACTGACTGCGGTTTATTAATTTACCATTTAACTTTATAAAAAAGAAACCATCACTGTTTTTGACAGAGATTTTCCTATTTCTTTATATCCCAAAACTTTATTAGGCTCATGAAATTCTTAATAGTAGAATGACTTAAGCGATTGAGCATGAAGAACAAAATAATCGTTGACAAAGATGTAAACAGGTGTCTTTCAATAAGCTTACCCAAATTTGGAGAGGCTGAAATTAACCATGACAATGTGCTACTAACAAGGTCAAGTGTAAGCACAACCAAACTAACAGCGTAGGTTTTAATACAACAGAAACAAGCGAGCAAGCAGAGACGTTGGTTTGGCATCCAAGTGGCTGAGTGAGAGAAGCGGCAGCCCCAACACCCCCATGCAGTTGTAAGGAATCTCATTCATGGTGAAGAGGAGGTCAACGTGAACGGGCTGGAAGGTGGGAAGAATCCTGTAAGGACCTCCTCTTTCAGGACAGAGCAATACAAAATATTATTTCAATACACTCATCAGCAACCAGAAGTAGGGAGCAGCGTAAAGCGGTGGAGCGTGTTCCCCCAGAAACCGAGTCTCAGAGCCTCCGCTCAGCCTCAAGTTCTGCGGTGTATTGACGATCTACTGAACCTGCGAGCCCCAGCTTTTCCTTTTCCACACCCCGATCTCCAGGGGTTCCCTGTGCACTAGAAATCCTGTATCTAAAGCGCCTGGCGCAGAGCCGGTTGTCCACAACAAGCTGCTACAATGAGGACAGCACAGCGCTTCCAAAACCTGCAGCCCGGCGACGAGTATTCAGGATCCCACAGCCACTGCTGCAGAAATCAAAACTACCTCCGAGCCAGGACACACGTGCCGCACAGTCACTTTGAATACGGTTTAAACGACCAGCCCGCCCTCTGTCGCCGGTCACTGCCTTCTCCAGCAGAGAACAGCAAGGAGAGGCATTCTCATCGCACGACAGGCAAGTACGCATGGACTTAACTCAGAATTAAGCATCTGAGCCCCGGAGGCTGACAGTGACCATCCTGCTGCTGGTGGTGGCTTCCAGAGGCTTCAGGGGGTAGCAACAGGGAATAGTTCAAAAGGGAAAAAGAATATAATTCAGAGAGCAGTCTCTAGGCTGCAGTAAAGCAAACACTTGAAAGAGAAAAGCGAGCCTTCTCTGCCCGCGCTGCCATCGCGGCCCAGGACATGACTTTCACACGGGTCCTCTTTCAGGAATCAAAGAAACGCGCTCGTCAAATCGCAAGATGATTTTGTGTTTTGTTCTGTTTTGCTGGTAGAAAAGGCATCACAAATGCAATCATTACAATTCACGCTGGTTCTCTCAACTTTCTCTGATTAACGAAACGGATCTCGGGAGCGGACGGGTCAGGCTATTTCCTCCGCCAGCAAACGGACCCGACCTCCCAGGCCCGGCCCGCGGCAGCCGAGGGCGCTCAGCAGCGGACACTCCGCTCACACAACCGCCCCTCGATGGCCCGGCCGACGAGCTCCTTCCTCCTTTCTCCTTTCCCTCCCAACTGTCCACGGCGCCGGCTCCTGCGGGCTCCCGGCCTCGGGATATCCTCGCCCAACACTCGTTCCCTCCCCGACCTCAGAGCTTACACGAAAGCCCCTTCGTCCGGGCTCCGCGACGCTCTCGGCCTGGCTCTCCTCCGGCTACCCAGACCCGGCTTCCTCTCCATCCCCGCTCAGCCCTCCGGGTCCGACCCCCGCCCCAGGCCCCGCCGCCTCTCGGGTCAGCCCCCTGCCCCAGCCGGTTCCTTCTCCGAGGCCCCGAGGCCCCGAGGCTCCCACTGGACGCCCTGCCCGCCCCCGCTCGGTCACACGGAGGCCAGGCCCTTTCCTCTGCTGCCGCCCCCAACACCCGTCCTCTCTCAGCCCCTCCGCCCCCAAGCGAGTCCCAGCCGGAGGCCTCGCCCTTACCTTCCCAGTAATTGCTGGTTCCTGCCGCCATCTTTGTTGTCCGACGTCAGTCGGGAGACGAGAGTCCAGGCGCTGCGGGCCAGAGAGTCGCCTCCGCGCCTTCTTCCGCCCTGGCGCCAGGGCCGATGGGATACGTGAGCCTCCAGAGACACCGCCACCTGGTGGTCGATTGATCGCTTGACACCCCTCGAGGCGCGCGACTGAAAATCTCATGCTTGGCGCCGGACACGCCTGCTTTTCTGATGCTCCTATCCGTTCTCTGCGCTGCAAGGTTGCATCATCGCATCATCGCATCATCGCCCTCTGCTCGGTTCATCCCCTCTCTCAGCAGGACCTACGTGTCTGAGAGGAAAGTCATCCTCAGCCCCAGCTCCCTGTTTGCCTCACCTGCTCGCAGTGCACCTCTTCAGCTGGCCTCTCTCCCTTCTCAGAGCCAGAGGCCCTTTTCTTCCCAAGCCCAACCGACCTCTTCATCCTACCTGCGCCCCGTGCTCCGTCATCCCGGACCTCTGACCTTCGTGCCCTTCTGCGCGGTCGCCTTCTCCTCTGTCTGCAGTAGCTCCAGTCCCAGCCCTCTTCCTTCCAGCCACCGAATCTAGACCGTGTGCTAACTGCTTCCATTGGTCATCCTGACCCCCCAAGCTGTTAGCTGCTGTCCAAACCCGCCCTTTATAGAGACATAAACAGTCTACTTCTGTCCACATTTTACCAGCTCCAGCGAAATGTAGGAACCTTACGTGCGGTAAAGGTATTTAAATTACACTTGTCCCTTTACCTGCTCCCATCTATACTTGCCTTTAACATTTCCTCTACATTCATTGAGAACTACATCAGACGTTATAATTTTTGTTCCAACTGTCAGACATAATTTTAAAAATATATATATATTTATTATTGATTTCAGAGAGGGAGAGGGAGAGAGAGATAGAAACACCCCGAGCCCGCAACCCGGGCATGTGCCCTGACCAGAACTGAACCGTGACCTCCTGGTTCATAGGTCGAAGCTCAACCACTGAGCCATGCCGGCCGGGCCAACTTAATTTATAGAATTCAAAAGAAGAAAGAAAGTGTTCCGTGTTTACCCAGATTTTACCCTTTCTGTTTTTCTTTCTTCCTTCCTGATGGTCCAAGATTTCTTCTTTTATAATTTTCTTTCTGCTTCAAGAATGTTCTTTAGCCATCTTTTTTCTTCTTTTTTTTCCTTTAGCCATCTTTGAAAGAGTAGGCCAGCTGGAGACAAATTCTATTAGTTTTTCTTCATCTGAGAATGTCTTGATTTCCCCTCCATTGCTGAAAGATGCCGTTGCCAGAAATAGAATCTGGGGCTGACAATTTCTTCTTTCAGCACTTGATAAAAGTGACAATTCCTCCTGGCGTCCACAGTTTCTGGTGAGAAATTGGCTGTTTTAGATGTTTTTCTACTATAGGTAAGGCATCTTTCCTTTTTCACTGCTTTCAAAAATTTTGTTGTTAATCCTCACCCAACCAGGTTTTTCCATTGATTTTTTAGAAGGACGGAGGGAGATGGAGAGAGAGGGAAGGAGAGAAACATCAATGTGAGAGAGACACATCGATTGGTTGCCTTCTGCACACACCCTGACTAGGGGTGGGGATCAAACCTGCAACCCAGGTGTGTGCCCTCAATGGGGAATCACACCCAAGACTCTCTGGTTCACAGGCCAATGCTCTGACCATTGAGCACACCAGCCAGGGCTGCTTTCCAAACATTTTATTTTTGACATAAAAAGAGCTGGCAGACAGCTCTGATGGGAGAGGGAGTGTAATGAGGAGGCTGTGGAAGGATTGAGCAAAAAGCAAATAGAACTCATGGACAACAGTGTGGTGATTGTGGGGTGGGAGAGTTGATGGGGGGAGGTGGAAGAGGGCATAGAGGGCATAAATGATGATGGCAAAAAGTTAAATTTTTTTAAAAGTTTACCAATCCCCATATCAGGTTTGGGGTTGAATATAATGAGGAAAGTCATTAAAGTCATTTAAAATATTTATAAATCTAAAATATTATGGAATGTTATTTCCTTCTGAAATAGATACTTTTATTCTACTAAAAATATTGCTAAAACACATATGGCAATAAAGGTTGGTTTCCATCCTTTGGGGGGAAAACTTACTTTTCTTTAGTTTTCAGAAGGTTGACTGTGATGTGTCTTAGTGTAGATTTCTTTGGTTTTATCCTGCTTGGAGTTTGCTCAGCTTTTTGAATCTTAGATTTATGTTTTGCCAAATTTGGGGACATTTCAGCTGTTATTTCTTCTAATACTTATTCTGCCCCATATTCTTTCCTCTCTTCTCCTGGAACTCCAATGTCATGAATGCTAGGTCTTTTGTTAAAGTCTTACATATCTCTGAGGGTCTACTAATTTTTTTCTATTTTCTGTTCATATTGGATCATTTGTACTGTTTTGTCCTCATGCTCACTGACAGGGATGCCTTTTCTCTGTCCCCTCTATTCTGCTATTGAGCCTATTCACTGAGTTTTTTAAATTATTGTATTTTTCAGCCCTGGTCTGTTTGGCTCAGTGGATAGAGCGTCAGCCTGCGGACTGAAGGGTCCCAGGTTTGATTCCGGTCACATGCCCGGGTGCAGACTCAATCCCCAGTAGGGGGCGTGCAGGAGGCAGCTGATCAATGATTCTCTCTCTCCCTCTCCTTTCCTCTGAAATCAATAAAAATATTTTAAAAATTATTGTATTTTTCAGATCTAAAATTAATTTCCATTTGGTTCCTCATTATATCTTCTGTTTCTTTGCTGAGACTATCATTTTTTCCTAAGTTTATTTGTAATTGCTCCTTAAAATATTATTAGATCCTTGTCAGATAATTCCAACAGCTGTGGCATCATGATGTTGGCATCCATTGATTGTCTTTTTTCATTCACATGGAAATTTTCTGGGCTCTTGGTATAATGAGTGATTTTAACAATTGTATCCTAGATACTTCAGGTATTATAAGACTCTGCATCTTATTTAGATCTCCATTTAAGCAGAACTTCTATGACAGCGTGCTCGCAGGGGAGGTGGAGGACTTCCTTGTTCCTGCCAGGGGGAGTGGACGTTCAGGCTTTCCTTTGGCCTCTTGATACCTTGTTCCTGCTCCCCACGTGGCCTCCACCGCCACCTCATGGCGGCCTCATTACCGCAGTGCATGGCGGAAGTCCTGGCTCCTCTCTGGGCCTTCTTTGACACCACCCAGAAGGTGGGGAGGAGTGCATTCAGGACAGCCAGGTGAGCATGGAGTGTAGGCTTCCCACGCAGCCTTTGCTGGCAGTGGGTAGAGACAGGACTCCGTTTTTTTCTGAGCATTTGGCTGGAGTAGTGCAATTATTGTCTAAAACTACTCTGTCTTGGTAGGCTGCCTCTTTCCTGGTTTTATGGCCAAAGACGTCTTTTCTTTGGGCTTTCCCCCTTCCTATACCCTTTGACATTTCAGGGTTGCCAGTTTCTCTAGTAACCATTGTGGGATATGAGGCAACACCCATTATGGGATCTATAAGGCAAAAAGATAACCAGGGAACTCACCACTGTGTTGTTTCTTGGATCCTGAGGTCCCTATCCTGCCTTCTTCTTCCACCATTCTGAGATTTAGTATTTGTTTTATATATAATGCATGAGGGTTTTTTGTTGTGTGTGTGAGTGTGTGTGTGTGTTTTCTGTGCTTAGTGGAAGAGAAATACATCTACTCCATCTTGTCCAGAATCAAAAGCCTCCATTTTTAAATAGATTTTATTTGCTAAAATTCTTTGTCTTCTTTCTTGTATTCATCACCATTATTTTAAAGTTTCTAACTGAAATGAAAAAATCTAACTCCCATGGGACTATTCCTATTTTTTTTCTTGATCTTTCATTATTTGCTATTGTCTTTTGATAATAAAAGTAACTTTTGATTGGATGCTGTATATTGTAGGTTAGAATGTGTACCAATCACTTGAGGCTCAAATGACATCTTTTTCCTCCAGAGACAGTTCACTGCTACTTCTTGCAGAAGGTAGGGGCACATCAGCTCACAGTAAGGGGTGGGACCAAGTCCAAGTGGAAATGTATCTCTGTACCAATTGGTCTGTTTCTGATGAGTCCTTACTTCCAATGTACAGCCACTTACATGTCTTATCTGAGAGTCTGTTGACCAGTGGCCTCTTCCGTGGTAGGTGCTGAACTTGTATTTCCCCCGACCCACTGATACCGCCTACAGCTTCTCCTCATGCTCTCTGCCTCTCGCCTAGCCTCTCTGCTGTTAAGTGTCTCTCTTAGTCACCACCTAACCATCAGCAAATGCCTCCAGGTGGAAACTTTTACTGTTATATTCACCCCTGAACTCCCTTTGCATCTAGACCCCATCAATCCTTGTTACCCTAGTACCTCTCCAGTCCTTCAAACAGCTTAGAAAAAAAAATGTTGCCCAGTCGGCATCTCGGCAGTCTTCTCACCCTCCTGTCCTCAAACTTCTCCCAGGCTGACCTCTAATCTGGAACACCTTTCTACTCCAGTTCTTGCCTGCCTTGTTTACATTTGTTTACACAGTCATAGGAAATAGGATTCCATCTAAATCCAGCCAAAATGCCAAAGAAATAACATGCTTTCTTTTAACATTCTACTGATTAACGTAAGGTGGAAGTTATACTATTAAAGTTAAACTTGGGCTTTATATGCTGATTTGATTGCTTTTAAATTGTGGTTAGTAAATGACTGTATTTATCTGAGGTATGCAATAACTACCATGGAATCACTGGCATTCTAACTGCAAGTGAGAATAAGAGATGAAGATCTACACGATGGCGTGTATTCATAACTGAGTAGTGTATTAGCATTGAGCATTCATGTTTGCTGAAAACAATCAGCGTCTAGAAATCTGGAAAACGGAACATAATCAGATTACTGTTCATGATACAAATCAAAAGGGTCTTGATTCAGTTATGAGAAAACTCCTGACAAAAATTCAGGAAAATGTTTCAAACATTGGGGAACAAAGAAACACCATCACTGTTCAGACTTCTTGCAGCAGTAAGACTGTTTGCACTGAATAAGCATACATACAATCTGATTTTATTTATAAACAAACTAGAGGCCCAGTGCATGTGCACTGGAGGATAGGGTACTCTCAGACCAGCCTGCACCCTCTTGCAGTCCGGGAGCCCTCTGGGGATGTCCGACTGACGGCTTAGGCTCCCACCACCGCTGCTGCACTCGCCAGCTGTGAGCCTGGCTTCT